TTCAAAGTCAAGCGAACAAAAATATAACAAAAATATACCAAATACTTTTTATCCAACTAAATACAATATAAATACTCTAAACATTTTAAACTATTTTATAGTTTATGAACCCTATAAACTTTCTTATTAGTTTTCAGATACTCTAGGTGGTAAGGCTTTACATCGATAATATAAACACCATTTACATTACCGTGTCACATTATGATTGGAATTAAGTAAAGACTTTTAACTAAAATCTTTGATAAGGGCAATATAGTGGTTTCCTGTATTTTTTCCAAACGCTCTTCTGTACATTCGAACATAGAGATCTCACACTATAGCACTATGGGGTCTGTAAACGGTCCCCATAATTTTAAATTTAAATTTAAAATTTAGAAATTTAATAAACGGTCTGTAATTTCTACTATTAATAAATACTCGTCTATATTGTAATATATAGACGGTCTCTCACACTGTGTCTCAATGTACCAATAATCGCTTGTCTATATACTTTAATAAACAGATCTGATTCATCCCAATTGACCATCGTCTCTTCTAGTGAATAATTCTCAATAGTGTGTGTGATCAATTCGGTAATCCACTGTAACATGAGCTCGTTTGAATTTTATTAATAAATTATTCAGATGATTTGTTGAAAGTATACTTTGAAGCCCATCATAACTTCCTAACAGAATATATATTGCTTTTGATTGGACAGAATGCAATTCTGAATTAATGTACGCATTCAGAAAATGGAATGAACAGAATAGTCGCAGCTGACTTTAATATACTTTTGCGCACTCTCGACTCTAAAGTCTTTGTTTATGCCTTCATTTCGGATGTATCATAGAGCTTTTAGCACACATCTCAGTATAATACTCTGATAACTTTGAAGTTCACTATGGATGGTGAATGGAGCGGCACAGCCATAAAGTAGTTGAGGTCTCATTGCTTAGTTAAAAAGTAAGGTTTTATTTTTCTCATTTAACTTTCCATGTGTTGTTGGTTTTAGCGTATTCAGTATACAAGCCAGTTTTTTTGACTCTCGTTTCTTCAAAGAAGTACATTATGACATATAGCTTTCAAAGGTCACAATGTCTTGTTGCTTTTACTTATTAATTCTTTACTATGCCTTTATTCTTTCCAAAGGATAGAATGCCGTCTTCTGCCGTATATTCTAATAAATACTCTCTTCTGCATACTGATACACAGATCTTCTGGGCTTGGCTTTCGTATATAAGTACATTTTCGTATAAATACGTTTCTTTGCACTACACACCCTTAGGTCACTGTCTATAATTACCTTTTAAATGAAACCTCTAGAATATGTAGGGTATTAAATATTATATATACACCTCTATAAAAATGAAATTGTATAATATTAATATAAAAATTGCAAAAATGAAGTGTATTTAATAATTGAATATGAAAAATGAAATACCAGACAAACAAAAAAAAAGAAGTTCAACATTAATTTTTCAAAAATCAATTAAATCGCACGTTTTTCGCACAACGATTCGAGTAACCGCAGCGCAAACCCATTAGCCATACGCATTAAATATTATTTTACGCATATTCGAAATTATGAGAGTTTTTTTCACAAAGGCCCACACCGGCCACTGCAGGCGTCTGAGTCTAATATTTTGCAGCCTTCTTGCCGCCACACACACACACACCCAAACTCTGATCGACGGACGGATAATTTAATGCGGCTGAAATGGTAATTTACTTCGACTTTTTTTACATAAAACACATTTGAGGCGAAATGCGAGCACTAGAAACGCGCAGACATCCCGTTGAAATACTAATTATGTGTGTGACTTAAATAGATTTCTCTGCCCGTTTTTTATAGAATTTCTTTCAGTGTAGTTTTTCATATTTCCTCATAATTTTCAAAGTGGAGTAGACATTGACGGGTTGCGCTTTGAGTAGCAATTGCAAATCATAATCACAAATGTTTAATGTTAAACGCTCATCATTATTTCTTCTATTTTTTAGTGTTTAGATTTTGATTTCGAAAGTTCTTCAGATAATGTTTTTCTTGTTTTTTAAGTTTATGGTTTTTGTTTTTAATTGAAAAAATTTCCTCTTGACAGACATTCGTCATTTTTCAACTTGTTTCTCAAATAATTACACACTCTTCATGATTTCTTGATTTTTTGATTTCTTGGTCTTCTTGGTCTTCTGGGTCTTTTTGCTCTTGGATTGGATTGGATTTGGATTTGATTCATGTGCGCGCACAGGAAGTGTTTTCATTTCGATGAAGAAAAATATTAAGAATTTACACAATTTTAATTATTTTTATTTTTAAAATTGTTCGCCGTTTGGTACTAATTAACTCAATATTTTTTAAATATATTTTTATTTTTGTTTCATTTTGATTTAATTTTTTTCTTTTCTTTTTGGGTTATTGCTTCCTTCAAAGTTGAGGTACATTTCAGCGATTAATGAGCGTTTCTTTTTTGGCGCGCAGAAATCGTAATTGTTTATTTAATATTTAATTAAGTGAATATAAAAAGGTCAGAATGTATTTATTTTTAAATACTTAATTAAAAATTTGGATAACATTTTTGAAGCAATTAACGAAAACTTACTTAGGTTAGATAAGCATTGAAGAAACCTTTTTTTTAACGCTTGAAAATAATTAATGTGACAAGGTTTAGACTTTTAAAAACATAAAACTTTTTTCAATATAAAAAAAAACATTAACTTATTAGTTTTAAACTAAAATAATTTTTATTATATTTTTATTTAATAATAAAATTTATTACTTTTTTAATTAGTCACAATGGCAGATACAAAGACATCAGATCCATCATATTATAAAGCCCCGTATTCAGTTATTCTTAGTGTGACTTAAAACTGTCCACAGATAAAATAGAGTAAAGGTGCTGATTCACCAACTCAGACATCAGAATATCAAAAAAAATTGAAATTAAATGTAGTGATATAAGATTACATGCTTTTATCATCAGAAAAACATATAGATATAGATAGAGATATAGACTTTTAGATATTTAGATATAGATATCGTTTGATTCGGTTTCTTCAACAATTTATTTTGAAAGTAATGTGATATAAAAGTAAGTTTACTTTACTAAGTAATATTTAAGTAATGTTTAATTTTAATAGTTCAATGGATATTAAGTATAGATCACTGGCAGGAACGCCACATTATAAATTTAAATATTACATAAAGTTTAGCTTTTAATTTAAAAATGAATACTATTTAATTTTTATGTTGATAAGTACTTCATAACCGTAATAAAAGTTCTTATTTTGGGTTTTCTATCGCTGGTAGGTCGTTTCATACATGGAGTAGGCAACTTACTCTCAAAACTGCTAGAACTGAAAAAATCTGAGAAGTAGTAAAGGCCATTGCATCCAACTGAACAGAATGGAAGAAACTAATTATGGCAGTTTGCTTCTCATAAGATCGACGGGAACTAATATATATCGCTCGCCTGGTAGACAGTAGAAAAGTTTCTATCGTTGATAGATAATACTGAAATTTGTGTATTCCAAACTGTAAAATAATAGAAATATGTCTATCAACACTTGATGAATTTGTATATAGCGTTTGTGGAGTAGAACTTAATAATGATATAGTAATAAAATGGAATAAAATAAAATAAATAGACAATAACAAAATACATAAAAATTTGTTAGTGGGACTGAACATTTTAAAGTTGAATTGGCGAAGTATTGTTGAAGTTAAAAAAGTGAATTAAGTATTAAGTATTATTTATTATAAATTAACACTTTATTAAGGCTTTTAGTAAAAAATATAATTGGCTGTACTATAAAACGCATAGAAATCCACAAATTGGCGTAAACTTATTAAACTAAAATAAATTTGTGTTTAAAAAGTTGTTGATTATTTGATTTCTGACTTTGTTATTGTGAGTAGAGGAAAAAGGGTTGAAAAGGTTTTTTACTTAGTCCCTTTATAATACTATATTTCACTCTAATAAAATTTGTTCGTCATTATCATATCCAGGGTTGCTGGGTGGTGGTGAGGTTGCAGATATCTCTCTTTCTTGATAATTAATTTGTTCGCCATTATCATATCCAGGGTTGCATTATCATATCCAGGGTCTACATATGTTAATAGCTATAATTCAATTGACCGAACTAAAGAAATACTGCTAGAAAATATATACCTTCACAATCTTGGCTACACCATTATATGGAATAAAAATTAGAAATAGATAATAATACTATATCTTACTAAAAACTTAAATAAATTATATATTTCATTGCTGTAAACAGTACACTTAGTCTTACTCACTAATTCATTGCTTTGTATGATGAATAAAGAATAATTATTTTTTTTAATATTGGACTTATAAAGCATCACAAGTATATTGAAGTCCTATGGTTTTAATTTCATTTTTATTATTCAGTTGGAAAATTCTACACTGTGATTTGCAACTTATTGGCCTCTCATCATGATTGAAAGTATTTTTCTGAAACGCATTTCCTGAATAAATTTCAGTTTTAAAACTATTTTACCTAACCTCGTGTATTCATTTGATAAATGTCCACATAAATCTAGAAAATGTAGATTATTAAGAATTTCTTTTAGATTCAAGTTTTAATTTTAACCGTACTATTCTATGCAAAAGCGTCATTTAATAAATCAAAGCAATTCGTAATGTATTATATGTGAATAGTGGCGTATCCAGAGGATCCCCCTGGGTCTTAGATCCCCTTCTGCCAATATAATCTACAATAAACACAAACTATAATATGTATTAAAACATTCTATTCATATATCTTTAAATAGGCTAATTGGTCAATTGTCACCAATATTGCGACTGCAGTCCATAGTCATCTTCAGAGTACAACCAATCGGTTAATGCGTTCAAAAATATATAAATAAAATTTGATATTAAAAATTATATTAATAAAAAAAATATTGCATACTTTAAGGCATCTTGTTATTCTACTTTTTTATTTTCACCACATTTGTTTTGTTTAATTTCACCACTAAATCAAAATATATTTTCTCATTTCAGGTGAAAATATGGTTTCAAAATCGTCGCACCAAATGGAAGAAACAGGACAATGTCACCAATTCCGAAGCAGCTGAACATAAATCAACTAATTCCGTAAAACCATCATCGGCTAATGAAAATGGCAAATCACAAAACCAAGCAACAGGAAACTCCGCTGTTGCGAATTCGATAACTTCAGCGCCAACGGAAATGTCAACAAAAAAATCGCACAACAACAACAACAATAATAACACTGAGAAAAATCGTGCTATAACGAATGAAACCAGCACAAAACTAACAACAAAACACGGAACAAAAATTAAGAAACAATTAAATGCATTACTTGAGAAAACAGCGAAAAACTCCCATAAAGGAACGGTGGGCGCGAATGAAATTAGCAATGTTAGTGGTGGCGTTGGTGTTGGTGCTGGTGTTGGTAGTGGGGGATGTGGTAACGGCGGTAGTAATATAACATCTGCTACAACAGTAACCATGGGCAAAAGTAGCACTATCAATGCCAAAAGCAACAATGAGCATAACCATCAACAACATCAGCTTCATCACCAGCACGCAATTCCATTAACAGTAGAGCCTGCAGCACCGCTGGAACAGACTGAAAAATTAGAAATCAAATTGGAAGAGTCACCGCAACATCGTGAATTGCAATTGAGCTTGCTTAGGGCGGCAAACAATCAAAGTCCACTTTTTAGTGAAATGGATTTTGAAAGTAAATTAGCAGCATCCAAAATATCTAATGCATTAGCCTTCGCCAAACTGCAAAACGGAAATAAAACACAAAAATCCAACCAAGAAGCAACGACTACGAAGCAATCATTGAACATGAATGAAGCTCAAGCGGATGAGGATAACAAACAGCAAAAAATTGAGAAAATGGATGTAGATATATTGAACGATGACTTGGATGAAAATGAATTGAATGGAAGGAAAACTGATGCAAAGGATGCTGATGCTGAAAACAATGAAAATCACGAAATTGACGAGGATGAGTTTATGCAGAACATTTAAGTCACTAGCGGAAAGGGACGTCTGCAATTTCAAGATGATCTTCCAGTCAAAATTAATTGTGCCAAAAATTATTTTAACTAAGAAAAGCATGAAATGAGCTCAATTTAATCTTTTCAATTTAAATTATACTAATTCTACACTAAATTACTTATAAGGAGAAATATTACTAAGTACGTTAAGCATAAATAATAAGGAATACGTTACGTGCTATTGTAAGGCTAGCAAACAATTCAATTAACTATTAGTTTTTAAGTTAACTTAAATGTAAATGGATTTTAATTTTTAACACTTATCTAATTATAAATAAATATATATAAATATACATATATGTAAAATAAATTTTACTAAATATAATTTAAATTTGCTCAGAAGAGAGAAATAATCTCAGCTGCTTAAAAATGAAAGATAATAAACCCTAACATCCTTTGGAGCAGAAGTGACAGGATAAGGACTACATGAGTGTCATATTTCAATTTCAAACGTAATATTTGTGTGAATACCCTAATTTCAAAAATAAATCAATATTATGAATACACAAAATATTGCTGTACATTGCTTTTTAATTAACAAATTGCTTTGGAAATTAATATATATAATATACAATATATATATATATCCGCTGCTAACAATTAATTTATATTAATGTGATAAAAATAAATAAAATTAAATTGTATACGAGAATTGAATTTTAATGACATAAACAAATGAAAATATATTTTACGGTAAATCATATTGCAGTTTTGTAATATAACATATGTATGTGAAATATATAATTTGGCTTCAGCTCAACTATAAACCCCAATATACTTAAACATGAAATATGTAAAAACATTTTATCTTGAATAATTAAAACGAAAACTATATAAATATTATTTATTAAATGTACAAACAGTGACAAGCTTCAAAACAGAATTAAATAAAAATCTATGTAACATAAAAAATGCCTTTTCAGTTTATTATTTAATCTACATTTTAAGTAAAGTATGGACTTATCTGAATTCTCAGATATTATCGCAAAAATCGATATAACCATGCCATACTGTGGACCGGAACTTTATTATGCAATTAGTTGATCCACAACAGTTGCCATGTTTACACTAAGGCAATTAACTCATATCCAAGGGTAGTTACAGTCAACAATGCTAAAATTGAGCAGAGTGATACAATGAAATATCTAGGCTTGACTTTAGAAAAAGTTGATTTGAAAACATGTGGTGTCTTCAAATCAAGTCATAACAAACCAATACACAAAGTCTGAATCTACTTCAAACCCTCTTTCAAAGCATAAAATTAAATCGATTAAGTGAAGTACGAGTGCTCATCTATAAGCATATTAGTGGGCCATCTTTGCTGTATGGATATGTAGCCATTACTAAGGTAGCTAAATCCTCACTTCAGAATGTTCAAAATCTCTAAAACATCACCCCAAGGAAGGGTAATATTCAAAGATCTCTAGCTTATCAAAAACTCAATTATTATTGTATTTGTGGACTTCCATTGCGATTTTTGAGAACAAACACATATTACAGAGTTTCATTTCTTCATCCGAAATGAGATATCCACTTAGGTGCTTCTTTAGCTCATGCATTAGTGGCGAGCAAACTTGCAGATCGTGCTTTGAGGTCTCATCCTCTTCCCTACAAAAACTATAAATTCCATTAAAGCCAATGAAATAAGGTAATGAAACTGTAAACCCTATAGTCCCATGATAGAATTAGTGTACTGCTTCTTAAATTATTTTTATTGAGTCCTTAAATACTAAAAGTGTTTATGGTTGAAAGTCCTTATATATATGATAGACATCACAATATATCTTTATTTCTCCTCTTCTTTTGAAACTTTCACCTGCATTCAGAACCTTCGATTGTTGATACTGCCTGGAAAGAAATGAAAGTTTTAGTCACATTCCTTGGAATTATCAAACTTAGGTTGGAAAGGAATACTAGATCGGTAGCTTTGATGATCACTTAAAAAATCCAAAACGGGAATTATTTTGCCATCATTCGATAGAGTCATTATCTTTTATTTAGAGTCAGTTGTGAATAAAAAAAAATATATTATTGTTGTTGTTGTTGTTGTAACTCGCCGGAACCTGCCACCTTTGGGAGTTGTTGAACGGTGCCGTATCCGGGACGTAGACCCGGATATATTATCGTCGCAGCGCTCGATTCTACTCTATTACTCTATTAATTTCTATTTTAACGTGTATTGCTTGAAAACATATTTAGACAAAGACAAATTTGTTTTATTGTAATAATATTCAAATTAATTTTAATGATTTATTTTTAAAAGTACAATTACCTACGAAAATTTATGTCTGAACTCATCAAAAAGAGAATCCACATCTATGAACATCAAAAATTTATCTGAGCATTAGTGGAACTTTAAACTGGCACGTAGTTTTGGGAATCTGCTTGTGAAATACTTTTGAGAGGTGTCGAACCACACTTGGTCGTCGCTGGAGACTAGTGGCTACGAGAGGTTGACCCAGCCGTTCTTGGAAACTTGCACGTATACGAAAACATTTATGTGTACTCTAGGGAACAATATGTAAATATGTAAATTTTCAATTATTCAAAATAAAATCACCTCAAGTACTACAAACGTTCATTACTTTAATTTACTGAAATTAAATAAGATATTTTCTTTAGTTTAACATTTTATTATTTAATAGCTAATACATGGTATTAACTTCATTGATTGTAAATTGCTATAAATGCTAATGTGATATATAAGGAAACGTTAAGCATGTTCCTTTGTTTTAACAAATATCTTTTAGATATACGATAGAATGTCATAAAAATGACCAAATTTGTACAAAAAATAAATACTGTATCGATTTTGAGTTTTTTTTTAAATTGCAAATATTTCTAAAATTTTTGCTATTTGAACTTAATGTAATATATGTAAACAAAAAAAAAATTGTTTTGTGCTTTTACAACACATCCACCACGCCATGTTTAGTTATGACGAATTCAGCAAACTCATTCGGTGTGTCTGGGGAATAAAGTATTTCAAGGCGTCTAATAGTTATTAATTTTCCATGTATATTGATTTGCTTAGGCAATTTAGAAATATTGATTCTAGTACGTCCTAAATGAGCCCAAGCCAAACCCAAACACGGTATATTGTCTTTGCTACCTTTCTGTCCAAGCATTACAGTATCTTTCGGACAGCGCTTTGTAGGAGTTTTAGAATTAACGGATGATACCTACAAAAATAATTTAAAAATAAAATTAAAAATAAATTAAGAAATCTTCAAATTTAATATAACATTAAACTAAACCTGGTTAACACAAATGATGGCACAATGATATTTATCTGCATAACCCAACAGTGCATTAGCCAATTTTCTCATTTCATTTGCACGTGTCACGTAATCATCCTGTAACCGATATATAGCAGCTACAGAATCAATGACTATTAAACCAATATCACGAGTTGCCAACAAAGTATTCAAACGCTCACTTACGCATTTCAGCAAATCTTCCTGCAGGAAAACCAAATACAGTAATATACACAAGTGTATTTATTGTTCAGATTACTTACACTCTCAAAAACGCACTCGACATGTATGTTCCCAAGATAATTGATGGACAGGTTAGGATACCGCTGTTGAAAAGACTTAGCTAACTCAAACATGCGTTTTGAAGGAAACAAATCTTCGGTACAAATAAACGCAACACCTTTGCCTAATCCACCCATGGCTGGAGGTATTTGAACCATTATTGATAATTGTAACAACAGCTGGGTTTTGCCAACACCTGCTCCACCACAAAATTCAGTGATTCCGCGAGTGACTATACCACCACCAGTGCAACGATCCAATGCAGCGCAACCAAAACTTATACGTGACCATTTTGCGCTCTGATGGCGTAACATATCTTGAGCTTAAACTACACATTATAATATTAGTTTTTAATTAAATAATATTTTATACCCGTTGAAAGCTTTTGTTGTTCTGCAAACAATTTTTCAGCCATTGACTTGATTAATATGATTTCATGCTCCGTACAGCCCAATTGCAATAGCTTTTCCTTGCTAGCAGCAATTGTTTCACGGGCGCTATTTAGATTACCTTTTAATGAAGTAGATATTTTGTTATTATTTAACAACCAATTTTTTAAAAACAGTTCTTACCTTTATCAGCAATTTCCTTTAAATAATTAGGCATCATCTCCCAGCTCGACATTCCGCTGCACCAAATTAACGAAACAATTTGCTGTCAAGTTTTTAATGTGTATTATTAAGCAACTATAAGTTCTAAATGATTTCTAGGCAATATTTTGACATCGATTAAACAGTTTCAAACTGGCGGTATGATTATCTACTTACCAGTTGTCAAAGAGCAAATTCAATTTAAAACTGGAAAATCATGAACAAAAATATTTTACTTTACAGTTTATTATTTTGTAAGAACTTTTTAGAAATATATAAATTTTTAATATGTATAAATGACATTTAAAACTTATTTTACATGTAATTTTTAAGCAAGAAAATAAAATTCTACAATATGTAATTTGACATTGCCAACGTCATTTTATGTTTCGACCAATGACTATCAAACTGTGTGAAGACATTTATTCTTTTTAAAGAAAAAGGAAAATTTTAACTTTAAAACAAATAAATACATTTACATATATAAAATGCTTATAGTAATAATTAAAAATAATCATTGTTTTCATATAATATTTATGAGCAAAAAGCATCACATCCAACCTTTAATAACCAAGAAAAAGTGAGCAGCGTACACACTTTTCTAAATACATAAACACAATTAATAAAAACACAAAATTTTATTTTAAAATTAATGTTTATTGAAATTTTACATTTTTAAGCAACTTTTTGATACACATTTCATTGCGACGATGCTTTGCAAAAAATATTGAAAATAAATTTTGTAATAACTGCATACACTGCACTGACTCGTTTGTTATTGAAAAATTGCGAATAAACTTTTAACTTGACATTTTTCTAAAACTATAAATCTTTCAAAATGTGAAAGAATTATGATTTTATACCAGCAAGCATTTCAAGAGCTTTAATCTCCCGTTCTGCACTGATTTTCTTCTCTTCAGCCAATTTAGCATCACGAATTGCCTTTTGCTGATTTTCGATCACACGAATTTTGGCTTCTTTCGAGGACAACCTACTTTGGTTTATTGCACCATAACCAATACCAGTTATCAGTAGTGACCATCTAGCAAATTTAATAAGTGGAGAAACACGTACTGGAGCTTGCGACATGTTGAGTTAGAAGTTTTCTTCGATAATTATGTAATTTTCCGACAGTGCAAAGCTGAATCTGTAATATAATATCAAATATAAGGAATTGTTTTGTGATAATGAAAAAGAAAAAATGTTTTACACACGTCAAAACTAACTTTGATTAAAATATAAAAAATTTTAATTATATTATTATTTTACCAAATTCCAAGCTTCCTCTGAGTAGTTCCAGACGAAAATTTCTAACCCCAAAAAGAAATGTCAAGTTCGTAAAGTCAAAGTGACAGTTTTGATGTGATTAAATAATAAACGTTTTCGAAGTTACCAGATTTTTTACATAGTTGTCTTTATAGATGTTAGCAATATATGCACTGTGTAAACGTTTTTGTTAAATTTTGATTATTTTTTTGAAATTAGTGTTCACACAAATTACACAATTAAACAAATTAAGATTGAATTAGGATTGTTGGGTGTTTACATTTTTGTATGGGATGATATTAAAATTTTAATATGTTTTGTAAAGAATTGATCAAATGAAATATTAATTTGTGACAAGTTCAAATAACATATATAGAAACTCAAATCAATGCAATAGCAAAACATTTCTAGTTTATTTAACTAAATTAAATTATAAGAAAACTAAAAATCAACACTTTTTGAAAAGGAGGTGGGTTATGGAAGTAATCGTTTTCTTAGTATCCGTTTCTTAATTATATGTAGTCTGATAATAATATTATAATATAATATATAATATTAGAATTATGACTATTATTTTAGGTGTTTGATTTTTTATTTGTATAAATGTATCTTTAACTTTTGTATGAGGGATAAAATTTAGTTAGTTTTGTTGTTAAAAATCAGCTGTCTCAATCTATTGTATAGAAAGCAGGGCTTTTACGTATAATGAGATACGTAAGACATAAAAATAGTATAAAACTTACACCATCTGATATAAATATTAAGTATTAAGTTCACTTTTTATGTATGTTATGTGAGCTGATTGGTTATTGTAATAACTTATTATGTGTGTGTATTTATGTTATTTTGAGTGTTAAATTACAGCTTTTACTGCGTTCTGAAGTTTATATTTTTTACGTTTTAACGTTTACTAGATATACTTGAACTAGTTCAGAATTTAGCGCTAGTCAGTACCAGCACATATTAATATTATTGTGAGAACAAGTATTTTTATATCTTTCTGTTCGTTTCAATATTTAGTGTTATTCATTATTGCTTGCATTCCTTGTATAATATCACATAAACGAAAGCGAGTACGCTTATTATTGACAGTTGGAATTTTGTTTTATAAATGTTTAAATCCATTTTTAGAGCAAATTAAATCGTTACTGTTATATATTTATTTTGACAGCAATACATATATATCCGTTTTATTTGGTTTTACGAACTTATTGTAGATGCAAAAAATAAAACTGATGTTTAATTATTAAAAGATATTCATTCATATATGCGATCAAAATAATGTGCTCCCATACAAACTTCAGCTATTCATATTACAGTGTAAACATTTAAAGCAAACACCTGCTTCGAAACATATGGCATCACTTCAACTGTCAAAAATCAGCTAATCAGATTGTTGCCTGCTGATTTGTAATTTGTGCATCTTAATTTCATGTGTGGCAGCAGGATTTTTTAAATTATCTGTCTTTAATTTGTTTAACTTGTATTTTGCATAATTTAAAATATCAAATATGAGCAGGAATTATAAGGAGGACCAGGCTAATGAAATAGAAGCCTTAGATTCTATTTACTGTGGCGATATGGAAAGTAAGTATATTTATGCCAATGTGGATTTTTCTGCCGGTGTTAAAAAACAGGACAGCAATAATAAAATATTTTATTAGACAAAATAAACCTTAAGTATTAAAAAGTTTCCAGTAAGAAATAAAATGGTTGTGTATTGTCGAAATGGTCTTCATCTTTGACAGGTTTAGACCATGGACTTGATGCATAATCATTAGGCGATGTTTATTTATAATATTTCACGAACAAAGAAATTAAATTTGTGTTATAATTTCCTGTAATTGACTTTATTTACAGTTTTGGCAACGGAGCCTCTGCATAAGTTTAAAATACCAATTGCCACAGAGGAATATAATGCTGAAGAACAAAGTAATGGTCTCGCGTGCAAATTGGTGTTTGCATATACAGAAAATTATCCCGATGAGGCGCCATTAGTCGAAATTGAAGATACGATAAACTTCCAAGATAATTTCGAATCAAAATTGTTAGAGCAACTTGAATTAAGTATTAAGATGAATGTTGGTCTTGAAATGATATTTTGTTTAGTAAGCAATGCACAAGAGTGGTTAAATGAAAGATGGGATGAATTTAAGAAGCAAGAAGAAGAGGATCGTGCCCGTAAATTGAAAGAGGTGGAAGAAGCTGAACAGAAGAAATTTGAAGGTACGCGGGTTACAGTGGAAAGTTTTTTGAAATGGAAAACGGAATTTGAAGAGAGCACAGGCATTGCTGCTAAAAGAGAAAAAAATAATGATAGTAAAAAGTTAACTGGACGTGAACTATTCATCCGAGATAATACATTAAATGAATCTGATATTAAATATCTATTAGAAGCTGGTGATTCCATTGAAAATGTGAAAATTGATGAAAGTTTATTTCAAAATATTTGCGAATTGGATTTGGATGAAGACGACGACGATGAGGAGTGGACACCAGGTGATGATGATGATGATTAAACATATTGATGATTTTAGGGTTTTATTTTGTAAATTTATAACAAATCTAATACTTGGTTATATGAACAGAATTTTGTACATGATTAGTTTTGAGTATAAAAATTAAATTGAATTAAATTATATTACAAAAATTTTATTTTTTTATTTTCTTTGATGCTAAAGTTAACGCGCTATCGTAAACACATGTTTATATAGAAGTTATTTTTCTTATAAGTCAGTGGGACCTGCTTGTGAAGTCCTTTTGTGAGATGTCGAACGGCATTTGGTCGTCGCTGGTGACGAGTAGCTCCGGGAGGTAAACCCGACTGTTCTTGGAACCTTTATATACAGGTGAAAACCTTTTGCTATTCCACCATAACCATTATTCAATAAAAAGCGCTTAAGGTTCAAAATAATATTTAATAAATCAGTCGCCTACCCGGACGGCGAAATGTCAATCAGCGCTCCCAACAAATACCTACCAGTATAAACTGTTCTAGCTCAATTGTGGTCATATTATTGCCACATGTTAAACAATAACTTACACATATAAATACGCTAATTGCTAATGTGTAGCCCAACTGCTGTTTTACTCTGCTAGGAGTCATCCTTCTGTTTGTATTTCCTGATTAACACACTTATCTGTCCCTTATTGATTTATGGCATTGTTCCATCGAAGTGACTAGGTTTATATTCCTTGACCTAGGCTATTATCATTAGCATACAAGTCACATTAACTTAAACTAACGTATTATCAGAATACAAGATTTCTTCTATTTTTGAAAATAGTTCAGTAGTTTTAATAGATCTACGATAGAAACCTAATATCTCTAAACACTTCGTCCCAGTTCGTTTATTCACCATTTATTAAAACAAATGTATGTTATTTACGCCAAAAATTTAATAAATTTATTTTGAAGTACAAAAACTACAAAAAAAATAAACTTAAATGCGTATATTTAAAAGCACATAAATTGACTGAGACGACTTCGTATCAGACAATAAATTCTTATATTTCATTTTATGGTTTTAACCATAGACAAAATAGTGCAGTTGCACGTTTAATCCAAATCATTTTTATTTGTTGATATTTCAGTTAAGTGTAGGCCAGTGCTCACTGAATCAATATCATCCAAGTCTACATCATCGTCAGAAACTGAGTCTTGTTTTTGTTTCAAATTCGTTTTTTGTACTGGTGGTAATTTAGCATGCGGAAAATCAAGCATGGACCAAGAGCCTGGCTCAGCTTTTGGCAAAGTTATTTCCACTTTGGAAGCATACATATGAACTGTTGTTTTGCTAACATCAATTACCTAAAATAGTAAAAAATATATATTAGTTGGTTTAAATAAAATAAAATATTAACTTGTGACGACCAACTCAAGTACATAAATATTTGCATTTTCGAATATAAAAAAACATATTTGAAGTATAAATAACATTTTATAGATATGAGAGAGCAATAGTTTGTTATTTCCGGCTTGGTTTATTAGTTTTTTTTTTTGTATAAAATAAGTGGTACTGAGCGATAAAATTTGGTTGTAGCGACTCTACGTTATTGAACTGGTCTTTCTGGAACCCAGTTAAGCAATTAAATGCAATGCAACTCGGCGATTAAATTAATATTAGTTAAATAAAATAATTGTTATAAATAGTGGAGATCTGCTAGTATAGTTAGCAATGGGGTACGACACTTGGTCTTCATGATTAAGAAGTGGTTCCAGGATCCGGTCGCTCCTGGAGCTTACTATAATTATAATACTATAACACTCTATAGCTTACTATAATGACAAGTACTATAGCGCCAGTATGTCATACTTTTGTTAGAGCAGCAAATCATAAATGCAAAGTGACTACATACATAAAGTTGGTCTGCACTAGACTAAATATACTTACGCCACGTAGCTCCAAATCTAGGTCATATATCGCATTATCTTGTTCTGGGAAAATAAGATTTACATGCAATCTAATAGGATTCACTTCAATTGTACTCTGTGAGTAATCATACATTTTTGCATATACTGACACAATTACATTGGAGGCAGTTTGATGCCAGTCATGTCGACATTTCACTACTTTTTTGTCATCATTCTAAAATTAAAAATTATTTTATTCAATTTAAAACTTAGAAGTTATGAAGCGTACCTCTTTGAACCATTTGTGGTGTCCATTAATGCAGCCTGGTTGCGACATGAAAACAGTAAAATCCGTTGTTTTTTTTTGGCAACAAGACCAGTACTTCATACCTTCATGAAATATTGGCACACCAGGATGGTATTGACAATCTAAATAATCGCTGCCTGTGCCAGTAAAAGAATATTTACAACCAGAATTTTTACAAGCAGTACCCACTGGGATTTCACTATAAAAATTACTTTATATAATAACATTTCTTTGCTTTAAACATACTATAATTACCCATCGGCCAGTTTTTTATCAACAACTTGCGTTTTACTTTTACTTCTATTATCGATGGCTTCTTTAAGTGTAGCTGCAACAATTGGTTCAATTTTAGACATTGTAGTTTCAATTGGTGGCCGTGGCATGGCTGCTTTAATTGGTGCACGCACTTCAATCACTTCGTCTTTGTCAGATGTTTCATTTTTTTGCGGTTTCTCTGGTTCTGGTGGCTTAATATTAGAGTGTTTAGAAAATTTACAACCTGGTATATTGAGGAACTCAGTGAAGTCTACAGATTTCTTTTTACAACATGACCAGCCTTTGTATGCATCATGGAAATATGGCTCACCAGGATGGTGTTGGCATGAGTCTGTCGATTAAAAGTTGAAGAAACAAATTTACAAACTTTTTTTATTGCTTACCATCTGTATTTTGTTCAGGATCATAGGTTTTACCACAACCACGATTATAACAGTGTAGCATTTTGTTTTAGTTAAGTATTTCCAATATTTAAATTAAAATAGCCTTCTTTTTATAGAAAAAGTCTTTCTAGAACAATTTTGATTGTTTTGATTTTTTTAAATGTCAAAGACAACGTGTTCTATACTGAACATACCCAGCAGCCGAAATGAATGGAAATTCAACACCAGAGGGCGCAGTTCTTCTTGCATTGAAATTAGTAGCTATTATAAACAAAATTTATATTGTAATTAATAAATATTTTAATAATTATTATTAGAAAATATGGTTTAATAATGTGAATGTTATGCCTCATCCGCTACTCACTTGACACTTGATCTAAATCAAAAATGAATGAGTTAATCAACTTTGTTACCCGCGACAACAAATTTTTAATAATTAAATTGTCTACCACTTGATCTGCAATTCCAGTAAGTTAAGGACGTGGTGTTCTACTAGACACACCACAGTTCATCATATTTAAATGCATAATAAAAATGTAGTATTATTTAGAAAATATTTAAGTTTTAGTCGGGTAACCCCATACAGCATATATGTACATTGAAACACTGCACATAACGAATTTCGCGTAACCTCCTTTTATATTCCATTTATTATTACAAATTCAATATTATTTCACAACATTTATAATTCAATTGCAATTTCTCAATTTTGTAACCAATATTTTTTAAGCTTGTCGTTCTGAGCAATATTTCGATATATTATAGCTTAGTTCTTGAGACATCGAATATCAAAATTTCTTTTATTGATTTTTTTTTTTTGTATAAATTAATAATTTTAAATAGAAGCATTACTATAATATATGTAATTCATCAGGTGTAAAAATGAACGGATCAATCTAAAGTACATAAATTATTTTTATATTAAACTTAGTCTTATAAATGTTTACGATTCAATAATCATTTTGGTTTCTATATACAGAAATATTTATTTAGACTTGATGAGAATTATAAGTTATTATAATTCTCATTATAGAATTATTATTTTTCTTTTCAAAAAATATGCAAGTAAAAAAATTAGAATTTTGAAATTAGCATATATACCAAATAAAAATATAATACATAAAATATTAATATCATAATTATATTACTTCAGCCAACAGTGTATTTTTATTAAGTGATATTCGGGAAATAATCACGCAAAGTCTTACTTTAAAGCAGAGTTCATGAATTATCTATAAATGTGTCATTAGGACATCTATATTATTATCAACTGCTGTACCCTTAAATATGCAGTGTTTGTGATAGACTGGTGATATGATTATGGCGCAATCATTCCAACCTATTCAAAAATTAGGGAAATTAGAATTCTATTATCAGAGGTACCGAAATTATGAACAACAATTTAGTTTTCTATTTGTGTGTGAACGCATCATATTTTTTGAATGAGATGGTCTTTCGTTAGTGACTTGTGGATGTTCACAGCTCTATATGCGACAATTTTGTCTATAGACATACTCACCAAGCGAAGTAGCGGTCTTCTACACCAAAGCATACTTAATCTCAAATAATGGACTATTCTGATATCATGGATCAACATTGTTCACAAGTACGGCTGAAAGCAACCTTAACAGTCTACAAATTTTTCGTTTCCTTTGTCCTTTTTTTTTTGATGATAGCTAAGTCAGATTGGTAAAAAAAGATGCTTCAAAATAATTTTACATTCTATTATTTACTCCCTAACTATACCCTGATTACTAAAATAAGACTGTTGATGGATTTAGTTTAGGTCTCACGCACTTTTGATACTTTACTTTTATAAAAAAAAAACCAACCTCTTCCAGTTTTATAAAAACACTTTGATTAAAAAATCAAAATACATACTTGCTAACATTATTTCAGCTTATCTACAGTTGACTGAAAAGGTATTTAAGTACTTATTTATATACTTAGTTATCCATTACAGACATAAGTCGTCTTTGGACACGTCCAGTAACCTCATTTCGCCAATGTGATCAGTGTCGTCAGTTTGTAGTACCGAGTACACCCATATCGTGGGTCACCTAGTGCTTCCACCGAAGATGCGACGTCCTCTGCCATGTATCGAATTAAACCTGCAGGTAGCGAATCAAAATCCTTTCTAGCCGGAGCACGACGTGATTTAGGTACTATAGTACTGATGCAGATTTTAAACGTGTTGAGAACTTGTCACCACGTCATTGCATCCTTAGTACTGATATATATTCCATATATAACTTAGTACTAATAATATCAATAACATATATTCAAAAACATTGCACTGAAGACCCATTTAAAGAGGTGATGTAGTTGACCTTAAAATGAAAGAAACATAAATATAAATTGTTTTTCGTTTAGAAATTATCTGGCGCTAACTTTAATGTTTATTTGTATTAATTAGTTCCACTTAATTTTTAATTAAAATGTAAAAATAATGAAAATTACAATTAACAGCCTCTAAAATTATTAATAAAATACTTTAACACTTACAAGAGCTGCTACCTTTCTGAGTTATTTGATCGAGAGATAGACTCGTGAACAATGACAATCAGTGCGGTTTGTCGGAGCGACAAGTGGTCTACGTGACTACCTTGATGCTGAGAGCATTATGAATTCCTCACAGAGTCTTTCTTACCAAGCTTGTGTGGCTGCTATTTGACCAGCGTTGGCCTGGCGGCCGCAAGTCAACGAAGCCGACAACCATTGAAACAGAAATTGTTGGCATGTGTCTGAGAGCTGTGAATGATTAGTCCATTTTGGATTGTTGTTATTTTTATTGTTTTGGTTTTTGTTTTTGCCTTCAATATTTGAAAAAATTATTTCACGCCTTCTTTTACAAGAATTTACGGCAAATGCAATCGTCGTTAGTTGTTCCAGTTTTACGTGATGGCATGTACGAGTACTAAGTTTGTGGCTGGCTAGCAACAGAACTCAGTTTCCAGTGCCAGAGACGTACGGGCAGTAGGTGGGTGGACTATGGTATGGTATGGCAAAATTGCGCTCATAGTTGGTAAATTTATTTATTTATTTATTATAAACATTTTTTTTGCATTATTCAGTAATTTTTTCTAATTCTGCTAATTTGTGCCAGTTTGACGCAGTGCTTCACTGCAATTGACAATGAAAATGTTTCTGTGAATACGTCAATTGCATGAACGTACAACATTGTGCAGTTCTTAGCTAAATCAGCCTGAGAATAGCAGATAGACTTCGAGTAATTGTGCAAAAGCATATAAGTTGATTAATTGTTGGGTTCTTTTAAGGTTACGGGGCGTATGCGTTACTTTTTAACTTTTAACTAACTTGGTTTTTTTTTCAAATTCATTTCACGTGAACGAAAACTACATTGACTTTAAGTCAGAATTAAATTGTTATATTTTAGTTTTAATGCATGAGAATATATTAATAATTTCTGAAAATAAAAAAATGTGGTTTTTTATCTTACATATATTTTTAATATTGCACATGCATAAAAAAATATGCTTCACATGCAAATCAGATTCTACATGGGAAGCCCTACGTGTGCTACAGTTACTGGATGCAGCGACGATGACTCAATAAAAACCTCAGTCTATGATGCAATCAATGTGATAAAAAAATAAAATATATGAAATAAAAACTGGTCTCAATTGCAATCTAGTGTTTTTAAAATTTTTATTAGTACCTCACTATCCATAAACTCAAGAAACGTAGCACCACATCAAGTTCATTAAATAATCTAAAATATTGGTTAGTTGGAATTTATATTGACTGATTGTGGGTTATTCAGAGGATTGTATAAACGTCCCGTTAATTCTAATGAATTTTCGCCGGCACCAATGACGTCATATGTGTTTCGGGATAACTTTCTCCGTGGTAAAGAGCGAGACCCAACAAACCTCTGCTGTTCTTTGGGTCATACCACCCGGTGATGAATACGTAAGACCACGTCATATAATGACAAATGAATAGCAATCATTCTTCTCGCGTAACTTTGAGTATTAACCACAGCCATTACGACACTGCCAACCTCAATTGGTCAGGACAGCCGAAGCTGTAAGCACCTGACCCTCGTAGTACCGGTATACCGTTGGTATAGCGCCCGAATTTTAGTTGCCCTTTACGTCATGTCCAGAATATTCTCTTCCCTTACTCGCAGAATGATCTCTTAAATACAGTCATCTCCTTTGTGGTCAGCCCTTCTTTTTTGTGGTGGTCTTGCTCACTAAAGCCCATGGTAGTTTCAGTTAGTTCTGCTGATCAACAATTATTCAGAACATTTTTACTTGACATTATAACAATATGCCCAAACCATTATAAAATTCTTCAAAAAACTGAAGATTTGTTAAATATTTGTTAGATTCAATTAGTAATAAGGGTAAGTAGTTTACTATAGCTAAATAATATATTTATTGTTGCATGACTAAATATTTATAGAGGCAAGCTGTTTTTAATTATCTTGAAAAATAACACTGATCGCGTTATATATGCATTTTGTTTTTCAATATACGGGAAGAATGGTTAGTTGCTGACTCAATCTATAAGTCCAAAAAGCATCCTCTAGAATTAAGATGCTAATCGTTTTGATACAACATCTTCATTTCCCACATTCCTCTTATCTCTTTCTTTATTACGTCCAGGTCATTATGTCCTATTCGTCTTACTTTGTTATAAGGCTGTTAAATCAACAGTCCGGTATTTGAAAAAATTTAATTTAATGTTAGGAGTTCCATTTATCTTATAGAAATTTTATTTATATATAGTTTATTAATTTAGTGAATAAATGATGAATTTTCAAAGATAAATTTTTAAGATAAAATTAAAATTAAGATAAAATTTTTATTATTGTTGCTGAAATTTATTATGGAACAATTATACTCATATTTTACGGAGGAATTTAGTCTTTATTATAGATTTTTATAATAAATTGCAAATACATAAATTTAAAATAAATAAGAAATATCTTTTAACCGCACTCTGTGGTGTGAAAAACGTTCTACTTATCATAATCACATTTCCCTATATATCGGTTCGAGACCTAGATCTAATAGTAATATCTCTTTCAATCACGTTTAGTAGCGTAAAAACTGATCTACAAAACCTTTCTGTATAACAGATTTGCTTTTTGCTAGTTTATCAGCCTTTTGGTGGTTTCTCTCTATAGCGTTATATCGCGGGACCCAAAGCTGAGC